CTATTATTTTCTGTTTTTAAATTTAAATAATGTAAGTATATATAGATTAAGCGAATGTAACAAACTTATATATATATATAAGTTTGTTACATTCGATTAATTTATATATACTTACATTATTTAAATTTAAAAACAGAAAATAATAGAGTAAAATAATGTCGCGTTACTGTTTTGGTTTTTCTCATGGAAAATCCTCGCTGTTAATTAAGAATAAAATTTATTTGACATAAATATGTGACTGAATGTGAAACAAGTTAATAATACAATTAAGAGAGTCATATACACAAAAAAATATAATTTTTTAAATCATAGTTATTCGTCTTCTTTGAAGAAGAATAAAAATGTAGAAGAAAAAAACATTTCGCACGTCAGGGATTTTGGAAACTCTAAAATAAAGAAACTATAAATTACTCAACTTTTTCGTGAGTTAAGCAAGATATTAGACTAAGTTATCAGTTGCGGATAGTTCAACGACTAGAAACTTGCACAGAAATTGTTTGCAGGGCGTGGTTGAAGACGGATGTGATTGGGACGCGCGAGTTCCTATCAAGGCCTCTTCGCCGGGTCGTCCTGAGTCAATCCGCCATATAAAACGCCCCTCTCATTGACTTCTGAGAGTATTGTTGGTCTTCCCGCTGCATAAGAATCCATTATTTCCTCAACATGACTCCTGTAGTCGTAAGTATCTATTTAATCTTAAATCACGCTCTTGTCAAATCATTTAACACATGATAATAGAATTCTATATAAAATATAATAAAAAATATATAATTAAATTTAATAAAATATATCAGAATATAATTATATATGTCGTAAAACGAGATATATTAAATAATAAAACACAAGAATATTTCGTATCTAATTATATCTTTTAGATATTTCATTTCGTCGAACAAAAAAATTCGTTTTTATATTCAATTTTATTTTCATTACATACACAGATTATTTTGTTGAGTATTGTCATCGGTGTCTCCTGCCAAGAATCTCATTATCAATCGCCACATCAAGCGGCGATTTTAAGCGACGCGCGTTATCTCGCAGGTGATGGCACATTCGGTGCTGCCTACTCTCAAGAAGACGGAGTGGAATTTAAAGAGGAAAGCGACATAGAAGGTAATCGACGTGGATCATACTCATACATCGACCCAACCGGGCAAAGACGCACCGTAACTTATACAGCGGGAAAGAATGGATTCCAAGTACGTAAAGTGCACATTATACTTGCTACTAACTAAATCTATTTATTAATTTTGACGCTAAATTTATAATTTACATTTTATAATTTATCTCTTCACTAGATTTTTTTATAATTAAATTTTGTTATATACTAAATTTATAATTTATTAACTTTTTTATAGATGTAACTTGTTATATAAAATATTATATATAAATAATATTTTAAAAAAAATTAAATCTAAAGTTTAAAAAGAGTTCATTAATTTATTGCAAATTAATCGTATGGTAATATGAAGCTCAAGTTCACTCGATTCTATCTCATTAACTTCAATCGAATTTTAAATTAATCTTTGTCTCGCAGGCGACCGGAGATCACATTCCTAGCGCACCCCCGCAAGTACCACCGCAGCCGGAATACATACCGTTGGCGCAATATAATCCGTCAGATTATCAGCCTCCGAGTTACGCACCACCATCCCCTCAACAATATTCACGGCGTTATCAACCGGATTATGAGCTACAATCTGTCGTTTATCAACCACAGCCTCAACTGCAGCCTCAACCACAGCCTCAACCACAGCTTCAACCGCAATACCAGCCGCAGCCGCCACCTCGCTATCATTATCTTTCAGAGTTGCAAGGTATACCCTCGTATGCGCCACCGAGGCCACACTATCAATCCCAACTTCGCCCCGCATCACAATATAAAGTGATAACGACACCGGCCTCGGTTCCGGCGACGTCCCGAAATTTTTACCCACCGGGAAAGCTCAGCTTCAATCGGACTCCCGATGGCTTCTCTTATACGTTCAGCAAAAGTTGAGTGGCAAGTGAATTTTTATGTGATATGAGAAGCAATAACGAATCCGAGATGAGATTAACTAATTAATTTAACAAAAGAATTTTATTTTTGAAATGAAAATGTGATTGAGTGTCAAAAAAATTAATAATCAAGAGAGTCATATAAAAAATATTTTTTTTTTTTAATTAGTCGTGATCTCGCGTTTTTATTTTTATTTCATGTTCCAAATTAATTTTAAAATGTAACTCGATTATAATAATTATTTCTTTTTTTATATGAATTTATTATCAATAATTCTTCAAAATATCGTAAAGTATTTAATTTATATACTAAAATATATTCTCAAAAGATTTCCCTTACAAAGCAAATCTCTACACGATATATCTCCGTATCTGAAGAATAAAACATTGGAACTGCAGAATCGAATGATTTCGAATGATCGTGCAATGCTCGATGTACCTTACATGCGATTTCACGTACAAATGCGAGTATAATCACGTGCTTCATAGGGTCAACTTACTTTCATCCGGTAACCTTTGCGTTCTCCATCGTGTTGCAACTGAGAATCCCACGATATTGAAGGAAATGTGGGATACGCCCGATATATATATATATATATATTTTACGAGGAATGTTATATCAAAAGTATATTCATTAATTCTCTATCATTTTTATTTAATTCATAATTGTAATTACACTTATTTGATATAAATATCATAACAGGATAATTTTAATTTTAATATTAAATAAAGATATATATTTTCCTATGTTAATCGATTAAAGACATGTTTTCTTTTCTTTTATTTTATAAGCGTCATAAAATAGTGCTTATGTTATTAATATTTTCTAAAAATTTTTTTATTAAAAAAATTCTTTTATTAAAACTAATTTGTAGTCAATACACATACGTAAATTTAAATAGCCATCTATTATAAAATACCATCGAAATAGCGTTGCGTTGTGTCTTGTACTATGGAAGACTGCGAATTACTGAAACACGACTGCGAATTACAGAAACGGAAGAAAGGAGGAACAAAGGAACGATTATCTTATTATCCAAGCTCGCGAGTGAAAATGCGAGGCAGGGAGCAAAGGCGAAGAAATAAAAATGCAACGAAGTCAAGCCGGTTCGCTAGTCATTATTATTGTTGGCTGTAACACAGGGTGCGGCACAATCCGGCAAGGCGAACCGCCTGCATCCAAGCAGGAACTCGATAACCTTAAGTAGGCAGAAAGAAATGCAAACGCCACTGATATTCTAGGTCACTCCGACATTGTCGCCAGAGAAAACGCCTTATAACATTATTATGTGAATTGGTGATATTATCGATTTTATTGTTATAACGCTAATTCGTCTTTGTCACCGAGTAAATCTATACGCAAAGAGATTAACATCCATTGACACAATACATTGATTGATGCAATAAATGCACAACATGGTTCTTTTTTTAGTCGCGTTTTATTTATAAAGGTATATTGAGTATACATTTCGTTTCGTATATAATTATGGCAGTAATATACAGACTCTGATTAGCTGCGCGTGACATCAACAGTATAAAAGTAGTCTAAAACAGCTGATGTAGAGGCAGTGTGGCATCGAACGTTCACTCTCCTCATAACAGAAGAAACGAAACGAAAATAAACGCCGTCTTATCTAAGTAACTTATGTCAATGTTTTTTTTTATTTATGCCAGTGTGCCTCCCCAATACATGAATTTCAAATGATAACGGTGTGAATAAATCCCAGAGAAAAGGCACTATGCGTCGTCTATTCTTCCAAATCAACGCACGAGAATGTTACGCATTCTCTTGAACGCGCGTAGCTTCTTCTTTTCATTTCACTTTATCTCCCCCTTTCTTTTGTATAAAAAAAAATCTTCATAAAAAAATTATATAATGCCTGTGTACACACACTCTCATGCTTATATTAAATGATATATTGAAGCGTATAATCGATCTGCGTTTTTTTTTACACTTGCATAGCTGGCTGGCTCGAGTATTCCTAATGTTTTCTATCAAACACTATTAACATTAAACATTATCGATTTTGTAGGCAAACATTAATTATTTATCTCCTCAAATGCAAATAGTGGTTGACTTCAAAGGCATTGATTTATTAAATTTGATTGCACTTTCATCTCAACATACGCGCGATAAGAAGACAGTGTAGCGCGTGCAATTCAGAGACGAGCGTCATAAAGTAAAAAACTGGCCTCATGGCAGGTAGGATTATTCACTAATCTCACTACGCTAAAAATATAAGTTCGGCTGAAGACTCGGGATATACCCATAATTGCTTGTCATGCATACGATAGTCTAAGGTAGTCGCTATTGTCGCGGTAATTATACCTCTAGTTATAAATGTTACATTACACAAAATATACGCTCAGCGTTAGGCTCCGACTTTTGATTTTTATATCATCGCAGAGGCACGGCCGTCTCATAAAACGACCACCGAATGGAAAACAATCCGGAAGCGGATTTGTACGTGGGGCAGGAGGCACGGCAATCTCGCGTTCTTAGCGCATTCTACTGGCTTATCTTAGAGAACTATTCTAAGGAGATGAGAGGAAGCTTTAAGCGCTGTAACAAGCGAATCCTATCGGCTTCTTCTGGAAGATATAGTTTGTTCACAATGCAATTCACATTAAAACGCTTGAGTCTGCCAATATGTTGACACGTATATTCGTTCGTAATGGAAACTGGTACTCGATTATTGTCGCTAATAATTTTCCGTTGCGAATAATGGACATATTCGTATACATATATATTTTTCCTTTTGATAAAATAACGGAATTATTTGCTGATTTATATATACTCCGAGTCTGCATTGTGCGAAATCTAAATAAAATCACAGACGTAATAAGTACAGACTATGCATTCCTTGATATCAGCATCTTTCTTCAAATTGATGTTTTAAAGAAAGAAAGCAGAATGAATCAATCTTTCTTTTTATAACGATAATGATAACTTCATGTATAGAAATGCGTAGTTTATACTTATTACGTTTATGGATATAACGTAGAGGAGAAAAATTAACTTTCTACATTTCTCCATAAAGATATCCATAAATGATACATAATTAATCGTACAAGAAATTCTTCACTACACATTCTCAATATGTAATAACTAAGTTTAAACTTCGAACATCCTTGATTAAGTACATGAACTTAAGATTCCAATAATCATAATAATAAGGAATAATCATACTGTCCATAGTCAAAAATAACAATAAAAAAATTCTATTTGCGTTAAAAACCAATTAAAAATAAACATTAAGACTTTGAGCATATATGAGCTTCGTATTCGTTTGAAACATAATACAGTATGTAAAAAAATATATATCAAAATACTTGTATATACTTGTCATAAAAATTTCTTCACGAAATATGAATAGAAAATGAAGAAATTCGGAGCACTTCAAATTAAAACTTGTTTATAATAAAAACTTTTCGCTTCTAGATACTATCAATTGCTGAGATTTATGTACAGCAGCGATTCGTATATGGTATAAGATGATAATGAATTCGATTCACTGTCTTTGGACGTTTATAAAGTTCCGTCTGTAGTACAAATCGTTAGATAACGATAATTTCACATATCTCAACACATGTAAGTCAATGATAAGTCATTGATAAGTATAGTAAAATTATACAAAATAATTCATCTAATTTGACACTTAATGTGAAGTAATTTCTCACTTAAACTATAACATAACAAAAAGAAATTTAAAAATCCCTTTTATATTTAAAAAAATGTTATTGTCATATAAAATATAATTGATTAATATGTCTTTTAAAATCACAGAACTTTTATTCCAGATCTTTCTTTACAAGGAACAAGAGTAATTCAAACTAATTAAATTAGATGAATCATTCTGCATAAAAGTTAATTTTCCAAATTAAATCTATAAACGATAGCATAATTCATTCTCATTGATATTAAAATTAAAATTAGAGAATAATATATAAGCTATCAAAATAATAAATTCTCTAATTGTATATAACGTTGTAATTGAAACATACATATACATATAAAAAAATATAATAGCATTGAGAACAAACCTGTACATCAGAGAGTATATACTATTACAGACCTATTTTGTAACTTTTCAAGTCTAATTATTTAACTATTTAAATCTAATTTAGATAATGACAGTATAATATTCTTTATATCATTAATCGGTTTTTTGCATATATTTTATACTATATCCATATATTTTATATTATATACTCACTTCCGGGTTTTATTCATGTTATATGAACATAATAATGAATATAATAATGAACGTAATAATGATTCAATTATGTCCGCGGTTCACTATGTTCTTCAGTAAAGAATTTTCAGTGCTTCTTTAATGAAATTTAAATATTATTACCTTAAACGATCTAACTAAATCTTAAATGCTTATATAATTCTGTGTGAACTTATATACTACGTATGTAATCCTTTATTTTTCGCAATAAGAATTAATTTACAGATTTTAATATATTCAGCATTATTAAAATCGTTTTAAGATGCATAAAGAGTATTAAATTGTTAGATTATTAGTTTAACTCGTGATATTACTGCGATAGTTTAATAGAGTTTGCATTTCAAAACCGAAAAATTATTTTAAAAGCGCGCATTTTAAAAGACTATACATAGTATATAAATTCACACAAAATTATACAAGGACCGCGGTTCGATTCACGCTCAAACAACGCTTAAAAATCATTTTATTCAAATAAATCGATAAAAAAAACCAAAATCGATCAAATTTTGGATGTTACAAATAATACATTATATATTCTTTTATTAAATCAATTTATTCCAGATATAATTGCGAACCGATAACATTCGGTTTCAACACAATCATTCTGAAACGCTAATAATCCTCCCTAAATTAAATTAGAAAAAAAGAAAGTAAGAAATTTATTGCAAAAAATATTACCTCAGTCAGGATTCGACCTGGGATCTCTCAATTTTCTGAGAAAAATGTCTTATTATTATTTCATTCTTGTTTATCAAATGTTAAACGAAA